TTCGGTAAAGTTTGCACTAATAAACTCATCTGGAAGTGCAGTGCTTACTAGGAATTCCTTCCATCTACAAGAGACATTCATCAAAATGCACAATGTGAAAAAACAAATAGAGTAATCAAGTGAATGGAAAAGAAAAATGTTTAAACAAACAACCGAATAAACCCCAATAAAGAAAAATTGGTTTTACAAAAGAAAAAATGTACAACAGATACTGCTAAAGCAAGTTTCCCAAGTAGAGAATATAAAAACTAACTACAGGACCATTCCTATCTTTGTTACACTCTAATTACATAGTTAAAAAATAGTAAAATATCTTTAAAAATAAGGATCCCTAAAAAATAGTAAAATATCTTTAAAAATAAGGATCCCACCATTGCAAGATTATTCAAGCAACAAATATTTTGAATCAAAAGGTAAAGAAACAAACCTCAACGAGGGCAGCTCTAGTCTCACTTAGAGCAAAATGACAAGATGCAATTTTAAATTTCACCTGCAATTTAAAAAGATAATGAAACCCCATATAAGACCGAACCTCAAATTGCAAAATTCAAGCAATAATAATTGCTACAAGACAAAAAACGATTAAGGCAGGGAAACAATTAATTTACCTCATTTTCAGTAATTGCTGAAATGTTGAAGGAATTTGGAGAAGAAGACCTGTTTGATGTTGACAACGAACTCCTAGAACTAGCTGAGTTTTGTTTAGGAATAATTTTATAGTATTGAAGCGCTTGCTTGTATGTGTGCTGCAACCAACACATGAAAAAAAAAAAGATATGCTAAGCAGCTCCAAATTTGTCCAAAAGCAAAAGTCTCCGTTGATAAAAGAGACTATGCCAGAAAATAAATTCAAGTACTATGCCATTGATTTATTTCCGGTAAAATTCTGCGTGTATATACACACACACACACACACACACACACACACACACATATATATATATATATGACAACTTGTAGAATAATAAATATGATGAAAGAAAAGAAAATGCAAAAAAAATTAAAAACAGCTCACAATTGCTCTGCGATACTCTCTCTCGCGAAGCAAAGCATCACCGAGAAGAATCTGCGACAAGACAAAACAAGCAACCGTAAACTCAAACAGCAAACAGTACATAAGCTACACCGAGCATTTAAGTGAGGGGAAAAGTAGTGCACATTAAAAATGCTAACCAGATTTTCGGCTTTGAGATGTGGAGTGGTTTCGGCACTGACAGTTGCAGATGAAACAAGAAAGCAACCCTATAAAAGAAATTGAAGTGAAAAATCAGCAGTCAGTGAAGCAGATTTGTGGTTAATCAGGCTTTTGAAATTTAAAGTTGGAGAAGAAAGTGAAAGATTACCAGCATTTGAGCTGAATTGTAGAGGCCATGATCTAGGAGAGCAGTGATTTGCTCCTTCGGAATGTCCATTTGCGAGAGCGAAGGTTGTGGCTTCTTCTTTCCAGAATGTGAAAGACAGAACCTGGAATAAAATTAAAATCTCAGTACACTGAAATTCCTAACCCGCTCTCCCTTTTTTGAACCCTTTTTCTTTACAAAAACAAAAATTAAAAAAAAAAAAAAAAATGGTTTACAGAACATATCGCTTAAACTTCAGGTTTTGCATTAATCAACATTTTAATTGATTTTGAATTATAAATTTTAATAAAATATTAGTGTTTACTAAATATTTCTACAAATTTTAAATTATCAATTTAATTTTTTTTTCTTAATTTTTAACATATACATATATATATATATTCAAGAAAATACATGTAAAACTACAAACAGTTGAAACTATTTGTCTTGTTCATACACTTATGCTAGTTCAATATTTTGGTATCTTTTATCATAACATAATATTTTTAAGATTCAACTTTTTGCTTTATTTAATTAAAACATAAATTTAATTCACATTTAGTAATATGTAAATAGAAAATTACAAAAAAATTAGATTAATTTTTACATTTAATGTAAATTAAATATTCATATAATTAATATCTAAAAAATAATAAATATGCATTAGAGTCCTCTTCTTATTCATTTTAAAAATAATATTTTATACACAATATATAATATGTTCTAGTA